AAGTTGAGGCTAACCAGGAAATCTTCTGAAAGAAATATCGTGAAACTCTTCTTTTCTTAGCTGCTCGTATTATGAAGTCCCATCGCAAAGGCAAAAAAAAAATTTTAAAAGAGAAAAGAAGCCGAAAAAGAGAAGTCAAACCACGAGGAAAAAAAAAAGAACCATATTTATTTGCCTCTTCTTTTTCCACTCAAATCTTAGTAGTGAACCTCGACTTGATGTACTAGACGCTCAAACGTATCATACGCGCCTAAGCAGCTACGCGGCTATTGAAGTATGGACGAGAGGAGCTGGGTCGAGAACCTGCGTGGCACAACTGTCTAGTTTTTAATCTCCTCTCGCCTAAAGCTCACGCTCCTCGCTCGCTCAATTCAAGAGAAATCAGACTGCTAATGGTATATACTGTGGAAGCTAACGTATGTCGACTTCCAGGTTGAATCTTGTGTTTTGGAGATAAAGTGTGTTCATAAACTGTCTGGAAAACTGATCAAAAGAGGCGGACCTAAGCGGAAAGCTTCATTTTGAACTTTTCACAAATCGCAGTCATAGCAAAATGGGCGTACAGCCATCATTTAACGACTAACAGTTCCTTCATTCACGATTCATTTTGTATATTTTTGTTACTTTCTTCATCTACTACTTGTCTTGTAGGGTTGAACCAGCGGGATTAAAGTACACGAAAAAGAAGAAGGAAACTAAAATCAGGTGTGCATCCGATTTCGCTGTAAACTTTCCCCTCAGGCCTCTAATAAAAGAGGAAAATGAAGAGTTTAGCTTCTCCAATTTTAACAATCATCGTTCGTTTTTGGTTTATATATAAAGCCAGTCTCGTCCCAGGTTATCCTTCTTAAAAATGTTAAGCCTGAAGCGTTCCGGGTGGTTTGAATCGTCTGTATCTTTACAACTATCTCTTCTATCTGGGTTACCCTTACCATGGTATCTATGGTGTTTTCCTACCTCAGTGAACGGCTTTTGTAATCTTCACTTAATCGCAATATGCAATTGAATGTCGAAAGAGATGCAGGATTGCATTGGCTTTATATTTCTTTTCTCTGATTGGTCGAGGAAAATCGCGCCTCCTCCTCTACCGATCAAATGCAAAAGTGCTGAAAACCAATGGCATCTTAGTCTTAAGCGTTATTCCGCATTTCAAGCAGGTTTCGTGTTTTTAATCTGAGTTTCCATTTCCTCTTTGTGATATTTTCCTTTGTCTTGATTAACCGCCGTAATTTCTTAGATCTTTGGTTTTACGACACCTGATTGAAACGCGCTTTGTTTTCGGTGACACTTAAAATGGCTCAAAATGTCTTCACGTAGTTCTTTTCACTAAATCTTTCTCGTCAACACCTTTCCAAAAATTCGTTCCGAGCAATTTGCTATTAAGTGTCACAAATAAACTGCTATTTCATCGATTTTGCTTTACTGCGCTCTGTGATTGGCCCAGAGCACTTTCGCCACTCTCTCAACCAATCAGATGCGAAAACTGAAACCAGTCACGACTTGGTTTCACTTTAAGTTCTCATTAGCTCTTAAAGGTATTTTCCTTT